TTCCTTATCACCCAATGTGCAAAAAGATAGGTCTGGCCCACTTATGTTTTGCTGATGATCTTTTGGTCTTTTTTGATGGTTCAAACTATGGCATTCAGAGTGTGCAGAGGGTTCTGAGTGTGTTTCACAAGCTCTCTGGTCTCCAGTCAAATCCTAGTAAATGTGAAGTTTTCTTTGGCGGGTTAGAGAAGGACGAGATGGTGGCTAGAGCTAGCAGATATGGTTATCAGTTGGGTGGTTTCCTAGTGTGTAACACCCCGAATTTCCGAGTTAGGTTCAACTAGTGATCAGGTTCGTTTGGGTTTGAGTTGTGGTTTAGTTTTTGAAAAGAGACGGGACGTTACATTTTGGTATCAGAGCCGGCACTCCTCTGTTTCTTGGTCTCCAAGGAATACTGGAGTGACTATCTGAGTTTTTCAAGGTTTCATTTTTAAAGGAAAGGAAAAAGGATGTCAGGTTTATTGTTTGGCCAAACGAGTCAAGGGTCTTTTAAGGATTTTTAGAATCTCCAGTATACTCTAATCATGATTAGTAAATAACTTTAGGAGACAGTGCGAGGTTTTGACACATCTCGGGAAGGAGACAGAGTAGCTTCCTAAGAGGATCGTTTAGCGAAAACTCTTTCATGAGTGAGAGGAGAAGGTTCCAGGAAACTCATATCCTTTTGGGATGCGAGCTGATCAGAATAAGGTTCATGAAGAAGCCAAATATCTAGTACATCGACAGGCAGTAGCCAAGGAGTTACGGCAAATAACGACCATCATCTAGAGGAAAGGATGCATGGAAGGTCCGTGAGTTCACGAGGACCGAACATAGGGTTACGACCCATGGAATAGTGGAAAGTTAGACTTTAAGTAATGCTAGGGGGGCACACAAGAGAAGCAAAGGAGGATCGTGGACCTTATGGTTACAATATGCCACTGAGAAGAGGGACCGTGGACCTGGGGAACCGGTCTGGCGACAAGCCTTGGAAAAGAAGGAGACCACCATCAAGATAGACGATGTAAAGAATGAGGAGTGATTCGAGAGACCCTACAACTTACGGTAGCTACGAGAGGTCAAAAAAATACAAGGGACACAAGGAGTATCCCTAGACTAGGGTAGGTCAAGAGTTGCAATCTCGAAACTTGTCTAAGAAAAAGTCATCAAGCCAGGGGAGGAACGATAGGGAAGTAGAACGTTAAAGGGGAGTTCTAATGCCAAGGTACTCTATTAAGTTGGTTTGGGAAGTTGTTAGGCCAAAGCAGGGGCGGATCTACGTTAAGGCTCTGGGGGGGGGGGGGGGGGGACCCCCGAGAATTTTGAAAAGCGTGTATGAGTACAATGAGAATTTTAAAATTACGTATTAATTAAGTAATTTGTATAAATGACGACATTGTGCAATTTGATTTAATTACAGTGCATGTAGTCTAGCGGGTAAGTGAATGTCTTTATTGTTAGGGACTGTGGGTTCAATACCCATCAACGATGAAACTTTAAGTTTTTTGGTCCATTTTTGCTAAAAAAATTCAGAAGAACATGGTACAAATACAAAAATGATTATTTTTTGTTGACAATTTATTTAATAATGTTGAACATATCATTGCTAATTTTTTAATTTAAATCATTATTTTAGTGCTAATAATTATCTTAGATAATAAATTGTAATGTGGGATTTATATGATTTGTTTTCTTTCATTTTTACGACAATACGTACTAAATTTTTTTTGCCCCCCTAAACTTCAAATCCTGGCTCTGCCCCTGGGCCAAAGGAAAATGCAGTAAGATGGTATAAGCTTCTCTGGAAGGGGACTTCGATCCCTAGAAATAGATTTCTCGTATGGCTTATCACCCGAAATAAGATACAAACTAAGGACAAGATGAAAAATGGGGGGTTTGTTGGATTGGACCACTGTTTTCTATGTGATCAGCCTGATGAGACAAGAGATCGTCTGTTCTCTGTCTGTTCCTACTATTCTTCTATCCATAAGCTGCTGTTTGGTAAAATTAGCTCTTTCCTTTTGCAAACATGGGAGGAGAATCTTGATTGGGCTATCAGGAAGTTTGGGGCAAATACGCCGTGTGCAATGACATGACGATTGATTTGGCAGTCAATGTTGAGTCACACTTGGAGGGAGCGTTGTCGTAGAGCTTTTGGTGACAATAACAAGACCTTTGAAGCTCTGGTTTCCATGGTAAAGAGTGAAGTTAGGGTGCTGGTGCAAGACTCGCTGGAGCTTGAAAGATTCTGGCCTGCTGGTTCTTAGAATTTCTGGTCTCTTACCCGAGATTTGTTCCGTTTTTGGTTCTTTTTTGGTAGCTTATGCACTTGGTTTTCTATATAGGAGTTTCCTTTATTTTTGGTTTATTCCGGTAGTTTGTTTTGATGGTTACTTGGTTTCCCAGGATCCATACCTAGTTGGCAAGGTTGTTGCCAGTAACTCTTTTTGAATAAATGAAAGTATACCGATTCATAAAAAAATTATACAAAATTATGCTGTATAAACAAGATGAATTTTCAAAATTAGCACGAGAGGTGCAAAATTTTAAGAGATTTGAGATTTGTCTATCTTGTTCGAGTTGTAGTGTTTGCTTATATGGTGGCTTAGAAGGCCTTGTTCTTTTACTCTATTAGGCTTTGGTTTTTGTTTATGTGTGTATCATTTTCACGGGCAATATATTTAATCCGTCTTCGTTTGGTGATGCATTTTATCTTTGTTTAGGCAATATATTCATTCAATCTTTGTTTGGATATGCAATTTACCGATTGAAAATCAGCGACATAATTAGAGTTGAAAATTATCATGTTCCGCCTCTGATCCATTCTTGAAAGGTCAAGATGTATAACTGACTCGCCTTGTCCTTGTTGGCCATCATAATCCAACTGATTATTTTGACCCAATTGATCTCAATAAGACAACAATTAATATTGGGGGGGTGTAATGAGAGATCGAACACGTGACCTCAAGGACAAATTATTAGCTATCATATCATAAGCCAACTGGTGTAAATAACTCAGAGTTGCTGAAATATGTTCACATATAAATCTTAACTACAAATAAACCACGATTTAAACACAAAATATTCTATCATTAACTTATTTGGTAACAACTTTCCCCCCAAAATTTACAATCTTTTCCTATTTAAGAGTTTTGTACATGGCCTATGGCCCGATCTTACCTGATGGGATCTAGCCCAACAGTAGGCCCACTGGAGTCATTAATATGAGATATAGGGTTCCGAGGCCACACTAGCTGATTTCTGGGCCTCCAAGCCCAATGGATTCATCAAAACGTATTGCACGAGCGGGCCATGTGAGAGCCAAGAAGCAAATTCTGTTTCGGTGTTTCCACAGGCGCTTGGGCTAACTCTAATGGAGCCTCTATATTTGGGGAGCCTCTATATTTGGGGAAAGTTGGTTCCAATGAAGCCTCTATAAATGGAGGAGTCTCTATATTTGAGGGAGATCTCCAAAAGGAGGGTTGAGATACGGTGACAACCCTTTTTAGGGTTGTTATTTTCACAACCCACTTTATCCACCATTAGATTCATTCTCTTTCATGTTTTTTTAAATTGATGGATGAGATTGGTACAAGGGTATTTTTGGACGAAAAATATGACTACATGGGATTACAACCCATATTAAATTCAATATTCTTCTCCTCTCTCTAAAAACCCTAATAAAGATTTTCATATCATTCTCCCTCTCTCTGCGGCCGCCACCAACACCTGTTCTTCCTTCTTCTTCCTCCCATCTCGTCAACTCCTCCCACCGTCGTCGCCTTTCTCCCGCCGCCGCCGCCTTCCTCCTACTGCCCTCCTCCCACCGACACCTATTCTCGTCGTCGCATCCACAACAGTCCCGCAGCACCTCCGCCCCTGTTGGCTGCCCCCTGGCTCTTCACACTGTTGCCTCCGCTCTTGCCGTTGCCGTCTCGCGGCGCTCTCCGCCCTTACCGCAAGTCACCCCCTCTGCCCCTGCCACGAGGTCTCTACCACGAGGTCATCGATTACCCCTGCCACTAGCCTCCTCTCTTTACCTCTTCCGGTGTGAGTCCCTCTGCCTCTTTGTGCCTCCGCTTCCCTCCTCCTCTTCGTTTTTCAAATCTGGGATTTTTGGATTTTCAGATCTGATTTTTTTCTAGTGGTACTGATTTTCTAGTGGTAGTGGTACTGGTTTTTTACTGGTAGTGTTACTATATGGAGTGGTAGCTGGTAGTAGTATGCTATCACTATCATTTGGTACCACTACCATCTGGTGACTAGTAGTGGTACGATACTACTACCAGGTACCAGATGGTTGTGGTACCAAATGATAGTGGTACACTACCACTACCAAGTATCATAAGGCAGTGGTACACTACCACTACCTGGTACCAGATGGTAGTGGTACCAGTGGTAGTGGTAGGTACCACTAACGTACTGACAAAGTTTTAATTTTTTACAGGTGGCCGGAGCGAGTCGTATTCAAGGATCTTGCCGGAGAAAGTCTGCTGGTCGGAGTGGAGTGGCTGCTTGAAAAGGAAGAGAGAGATAGAAAGAGAGAGTTATATTTATTGTAGGATTCAAAATTTAAAAAACATGTATTTAATATGGGTTTTTAATTCCCAATCTGTAATTAATAAAAAAATTAATTAATAAATTCGTTTTTTTATCATACCCAGAATACCCTTGGTTGTCAATCTCACAACCCATTAGGGGTTGTTACCGTATCCCATCCCCCAAAAGGATCCCCAAATTTGGGGTGGAAATGGGGGTTCTCCAAATATAGAGACCCCCCAAAGGCCGTCACGTGACGTTTTTTTTTTAAAGATTTTAATGGTTAATTGGAGTTTAATTAGGGGATTAGTTAGGGGTTTAATTAGATCAACAATTTTCAAGTGTTGTGTGTAAACCCAAATTAGGTCAATTATTTTTTGTCAACAAAAATTTAGTCTAAAAATTTAAAAAATATCTACCGGAAAATTTGTATTTAAAAATAATGACGAACTATACAAAAATTAACATGAACAAATTATATTAAGACTTTGATAAGTATATTTTTATGTAAATGGAAAATTTAAAAAATGGAAATCTCCAAATATAGAGGATGTAGTATTGAAGCAAAAGAAGGAAAATGGGAATGAATCCCAAATTTGGGGATGAAGCATTGGAGTTGGTCTTAGCTTCCCGAAGATCAGCGAGACAAACTGAAAGCTACTCCGGCCAGCAACTGTTCTGCCGGTTCTTCTTCCTCTTCGCCCTCTCTCAAGTCTCACCAATGGCGTTTCTCTTTAACAAATTCCAAGAGGTAAACCTAGTCATTCTCTTCTTCAAGTTGAAGTTTTCTTCGTTAGTCGATAGTCGGGACTTCGATTGAGATAGCCGCCATTTTTGTTGGTCTTGGAAATGCTGATCCCACGCCAATGGGGCTTTTTCGAAGCCGGAAGCGGAGAAAAGAACGGAAAATTTCGTTTGAAAACCGGAGCTGGAAGCTTGGAGCTCCAATTTCCACAACAAAGCAACAAACTTTTGCTTGAATGAGTTGAAGAACCGGCGCTGCAGTGGAATTTTTGTTCATATATTTACCTGCTTTTTGTTGCTTAAGTGCGTCAGATTTAATTTATCTGTTAGAATGGGGTCATGGCGAATTCTTCTTCTGTGCCAATGCCGTAGAATCTAGATATAGTGCTATACTATCACGAATTTTGATTGGTGCCCATGCCTTGTTATGGGGAAAGATTTTATTTGTGACTAATGTTCCGTTGTTCTTATTGATTAGGCAGTGAAAGTTCTTGCAAAAAGCCCTACATTTGCTAAGGATCCAAGGAAAATGCAATTCGAAGCGGACATCAATCGTCTATTCCTGTATACATGGTTAGGTTCTCATCTAATCGCTATTCATTTAGTTCCTCTAAATGGCTGATTTGTTCATTTCTGGAATTTTTATATTTATAGCTACAATCGCTTAGGGAGGACTGCGGAAGAGGCTGACGTGGATGAGGTAATCGAAATGGCCAATAAAGCTTCTGTTGATGATCAGCAGAAGCAAGTGCAGGAAAACATCCATTCTCAAACTAGAAACTTCTCCACAGCAATGGACTCTATTCTTCTCTCTGGCCCTATTGAAGGAGATGAGGCAGGTGGTGGAAGCTCTAAAGACGAAGATGCCGCCCCACGCAGAAGTGGCCTTAGTTTTGCTGTTGGCCAGAGGGGGCCATCTTCCAAGCATCCAGGTAAACCCGTGGTTAATATCTGCTTTTGGTAGTCTCAAGTTGTTGATTCTTGTTGACTGTTCCTTACCTTTAAGTACTTTCTTCAAATTCTACTATGCAGCTATTCCAAAGACAAAACCATTAAGCCTTGCTGAAGTCTCTCTGAGACTAAAGGAGAGCATTGGCTACGCACTTGATCTCAAGCCGTCTCAAATACCCCATGAGGCAGCTGGAATAGGGTTGTTTGTCAATGGTGAAGCAGATGTTGGCACTGTGATTGCCTTCTACCCAGGTGTGATTTATGCCCCTGCTTACTACCGGTATATCCCTGGGTACCCAAGGGTTGATGCAAAGAACCCTTACTTGATCACAAGGTATGACGGCACTGTAATCAATGCTCAGCCTTGGGGTTCTGGTGGTGATACTCGGGAACTATGGGATGGGTCGAAGCTTCCAGAAAACCAGCCCAGCTCCCCAAGCGGTGACGAGAATGGATCAGACCGGCTTTGGAAAACACTCAGCAAGCCTGTGGAAGGGACACGAATCAGTGGTGGTGCTGGCGAAATCATTGAGAGAAGGAACCCACTTGCTTTGGCTCATTTTGCAAACCACCCTGCGAAAGGGATGGCTCCTAATGTCATGATTTGCCCGTATGACTTCCCGCTGACGGAGAAGGAAATGAGGACTTATGTGCCAAATGTTTCATTTGGGAATGCAGACCAAGTAAGTATGAGAAGATTTGGCAGTTTTTGGTGGAGAACTGGGTCCAGAGAAGGCAGTTCTGATGTTCCCATCATGAAGGCACTTGTCTTGGTGGCTACCAGGGCGATCTGTGATGAAGAAGTTTTGTTGAACTACAGACTGAGCAACTCGAAGAGGCGACCAACATGGTACACTCCAGTGGATGAAGAGGAAGACCAAAGGAGATGGAGCTAAAAGAGTTAGCTTAGGTTACCGGGAAATAGTTTCAAGGATGGCTTGCTCCTTTTACAGAGATTATTCTTATAGCATAAGGTCGCTCCCAACTACGAGTGTACCATTTCCATCCCTTAATTGCCTGAATCTTCTCAGCCTCATCTTCTATTTATGGCTGCAGACAAGAAAACATACTTCGGGGTGATCATTTTTTTTACACAATAAATCCCTTGCAGTCATTTCACAAAGTTGAAAGGAGTTATAGTCTCAAGTCATGTAGAACCAACATAATATGGGATACTAAATAGTTCCCTTTTTGTCCTTGTGTAACAGTTGGACTATTGACAGCAACCACCCATGGCTTTCTTGTTGATTCTTAGCTAGGCATAGCCCCTTGAAGTCCCGTGTTTCTGCGGTGACCTTTTCATTTATAGTTTTCATCTTGTTACATTTTTGGGGAATTTTCGTCATCATCAATGAGAGATCAATCTTTGAAAGTTTGGTATGCATACAATATTGGATTGCTATTGGACACCATTGCGAACTAAGAAGCAAGATGCGTGGTTTAGCTTTATATATATAGCATTCATTCCATGATTTATATATGTTATCCGCAGGTTTGAGGTCCTCCCAGCTTCTCAACCTCATACAACAAGCCACTTCTTAGGTGAGTTATATTTAATCGTTACCTTATTTTGTTCTCTTTAAGTGCTAGTGCTTGACTTTATAGAACAGAAAGGACAGAACAGAAAGGTACAATTTAGTGAATTTAGTTTCCTATTACCATTGCCTCCTAAGCTTGCATGCAGATAATGAAAGGCATCATCCTTAGGCAATAATGTCCCCTTTTGGAGTCGAATACATGCCAAACCTGATACATCTAGTTGTGGATCTATGTACTGATTACTAGAAAACTCTTCTGTTGAAGGATATATGAATCTGGGAAAGAGTCCCACTGGTTGGCCTTGTTCATCTTATTATGATTTATTGATTTACGATTATTTCGCTATATATACAGGATGTGGTACTCCAGGATTTGCATCACAACAAACAGAACCCCATCACAGAAGCTAAGCAGTGACACGTGCAGAGAAACTTAAAACCAATGGGGGTTTCAGGTTTAGTTGCATTGTCACTGTGCATGTTTCTGTGGTTGGTGGGTGTTTCACCAACATGGGGAGCTGTTGATCCCGAGATCATTGCAGCTCAATCAGCTGACCGGGTCTTCTACATCCCAGAGCAGCCGTCCGTGAACTTCCTGCAGTATGCTGGGCATGTCACAGTTGATGAGAGCCACGAGAGGGCGCTGTTCTACTGGTTCTTCGAGGCAGCTCACAAGTCGGAGGAGAAGCCTTTGCTCGTCTGGCTCAATGGAGGTACCCATTTTTTCACATACTCATCAAAATCTTGACCGTTGTCTCCAACATATTGAAAAGTGAAAGTGGGGTTATGATTACTGAATAGTTAACGGTTAATGTACAATCTTTTGCAGGGCCAGGATGTTCTTCGGTTGGGTATGGGGCAGCTCAAGAGATTGGACCGTTTCTGGTGAAGAAAGGACATCAAATAGAACTTAACCGCTACGCTTGGAACAGAGGCAATTCTTCTCCTCATTGTTTATCGTTCTCATATCTCTTTGTATACTTATTTTCAAAATCCTTAACTAATTCATTTGCTTGTTTGCTTTGATCTTCCTTAGCTGCCAACCTACTGTTCTTGGAAGCTCCTGCTGGGGTGGGATTTTCATATTCAAACAACACTTATGCTCCAGGAGACAGTGTCACCGGTAGTTATATGCACTGATTCGAGAAACTGATTTCTGTATATATTGATCAAGGAAACTAATCATGTCTGAATTGTTTTGTTGATCATAATGCAGCGTGGGATTCCTACAACTTTTTGAACAAGTGGTTGAAGAGATTCCCGCAGTACAGGGATAGTGAACTGTTCATAGCAGGAGAAAGCTACGCTGGACACTATGCACCACAACTGGCTGAAGTGATCTTTGATCAGAACAAGATCTACTACTCCCTCAACGACTCCTCTAATTACATCAACCTCAAAGGCTTCATGGTACATTAATCGAACACTCCCTATTTAATCACTGAAAGGCATTACCATCATATAATTGTTTCTTGTTATGTTGTTCTATGTCAGGTAGGGAACCCATCATTGGACGATGGAACGGACAGCAAAGGAATGATCGACTATGCATGGGGCCATGCGATGCTGTCGGACAAGGATTACCAGTCCATTATGTCGAGCTGTGATTTCACGAGGGACGACTTGAACCAGACCGAGCAGTGTAAAAATGGAATGGCAAATTACTACAAGCTGTATTCTATCATAGACATGTACGGCATCAACTCCCCAACGTGCCATCTGCCCACCAATTCTAGCCATGGTTTCCGGGGCCGACTGCCAAACAACAGGACAATGAGGATACCTGCCGGCGCAGGGTATGATGCATGCACCAGCAACTATGTGTTTGAGTATTTCAACCGACAGGATGTACAGGAAGCATTGCATGCTGACCTCAACAAAGTCCCTCGCCCATGGGACCTTTGCAGGTCAGTGTTTCCCTCATCTTAAGCTTTCGATATGCTTGGGCTTGGGCATGGGCGGTAGAAGTGGGAGTTAAGATTGTGAACAACTATGTGTTGATGCAGTAATGAGGTAGGCAATGACTGGAGTGAAAGCGCTTTCTCGGTGCTCCCTGTGATTAGGAAGCTGCTTGATGGAGGCCTGCGCATTTGGTTCTATAGGTAACTTAATAGCGTCTTACATTATTGCACTTACTAATCAAAGTAAAACATGAAAGAACTAATACATATGTCAGTTTGTTTAATTGTTTTGGTATTATATAGTGGAGATGCAGATGGTAGGATACCAGTGACCTCAACGAGGTATGCACTGAAAAAGCTTGGGGTGAACATAACTCAAGATTGGACTCCTTGGTACAACCAGGAAGAGGTAAAACTATTATGTAATCGTAATTAGTGACGCAGTTACGTTGCTTGATTGCTTGAATATGATTAGATTGCTGAATAATACGAGTGTTTTAAAAGCACAGGTTGGAGGATGGACTATAAGTTATGCAGGAGGGCTGACAATGGCGACGGTGAGAGGAGCTGGCCACGCCGTCCCAGTACTAGCACCGGACCGCGCTCTCCTCCTCGTCTCTCACTTCCTCGACAACATCGACTTGCCACGTGCCTCCTCTTGATTCATTATCATCGTTAATCTGTTGTATTCAATTCCATTCCTATATAGTTCATCGGCTGCATTTCCCAGGGTTCGTATCATTGTCTTGATAACTTTGTACCCAATTCTGTTGTTGCCCTGCCTCGTTTTTGTATATGCCATGGCTATGAGAATCACTATTCATTTACCATTCAACTCATATCAAAACCCTCTCATCTTTATCATCATTCTGATGCATTGCAAGTTTGATTACAACTCCAATCTTGGCAGAATATCAATTTCACTCTTGAAAAGAATCTCGAATTTGATCCTCCATCTAATTTTGGTCCATAAAGAAGCCGCACCAAAGTTGAAAATGTTATCCGGCCGGCGAGCATACTTATGGCAGCAGATTCCTTGGTCTTCAAACAAACTTATTGGAATGACGAGTGAATACTGATATATCAGCAAGAAAGGGAAATAGATCTTTTGTCATTGGATCGGGTGAGCTGAGCTCTAAACAACAAATGTGGTGGACTAAACTGAAAAATTTTGTTCCATTTTTATTTTCAGGTAGTCACATTATAGATGTGTGAGTTTTGGATCGGGTAGGATGGCAATGAGGCCGGTTTGTCTAAATCATCCTCATCCCCATTTCCAAATATCCATACCCATACCCGCCTCATACCCATGGGGATTTTTCCAAAAGTAGCACTGTTTAATTTTTTTTCCAGAAAATAGCACCCAACTCCGAAAAATTCCTAAAATAGCACACTTTCCGCAAAACCGCCACTCGTACCAGCGGTTTAGGCGAAAACCGCCACCCGGGGGCGTGTTTTTCGATGAAAACTGCACTGGTAGGGGGCGGTTTTGCAGACCGCACCCCCACCATGCGGTCCGCTTTTTTTTTTTTTTTTTTTTTTTTTTGAAAAATCCTAACCTAGGTGGAAACTTCAAACAAACGTATCTTTGTGTTCGGGTATCCGATCGTCGCGATTTTTTTTTATTCCGCATAAACTTTTGAGATCTTGCAAGCCGAAGACTGCCGAAGGTGGTTTGGTCCCGCCTTCGTCCCAAAAAATGTCGTTTGCTACCCCGAACGAGCTTTTTTCCGATTTCGTCAAACTTTGGAGAACCATAACTTTGTGCTAAAAAATCCAAACGACATGAATTTTTTATTTATTTCGCATAACTTTTTAAGGACTACAATTTTTACTAGAATGAATTTTCAAAACAGGAATTATTTTTGGATATACAGGATTTTGGGAATAACTTACCTTCCCTTCTCAGCAATCCACGTACATTTTGAAATTATGTCTATGATAAAAGTTGTATTCCTTAAAATTTATGCGAAATACAAAAAATTTCATGTCGTTTGGATTTTGGAGCACAAAGTTATGGTAGTCCAAAGTTTGACGAAATCGGAAAAAAGCTCGTTCGGGGTAGCAAACGACATTTTTTGGGACGAAGGCGGGACCAAACCACATTCGGCAGTCTTCGGCTTGCAAGATCTCAAAAGGTTATGCAGAATAAAAAAAAATCGCGACGATCGGATACCCGAACACAAAGATACGTTCGTTTGAAGTTTCCACCTAGGTTAGGATTTTTCAAAAAAAAAAAAAAAAAAAAAGACCGCATGGTGGGGGGGCGGTCTGCAACCAAACCGCATGGTGGGGGTGCGGTATGCAAAACCGCCCCCTACCAGTGCGGTTTTCATCGAAAAATGCGCCCTTGGGTGGTGGTTTTCGCCTAAACCGCTGGTACGGGTGGCGGTTTTGCAGAAAGGGTGCAATTATTGTAATTTTTCGGAGTTGGGTGTTATTTTTGGAATTTTTTTTTTAAAACAGTGCTACTTTTGGAAAAATCCCATACACATGCGGGTGGAGGATTTGCATACCCATCCCCATACCAGCGGGTTTCGGATACCCATGGGTAATACCCATTCCTATGTATGCATTACTTCTACCCCTAATAATCAACATACATTCTTCAATTATAACACTAAAACAACCAAATATTTGATGAAACCAACAAAGTACAATCATTCTTAATACGATAAAAAACATCCAATTCTTTGTTTAATTGTTTCTAAGAGATCAAAGTCTACTAGATTACATAAAACACACAAATGCTCTGCCGGCTGCGGGAGTCGACTAGCAGCAGATGGAGACTGGGAGAATGGAACGGCTGCGGTGATGCGGGTTTCATTAGGGTTTTGATAACTCAAATTACATTTTAGCCATCTATGTTTTTTTCACCCTTCATTTCATTAACAATTTACAAATAGGTACTTGTATTTTTTCATATAACAAATAAGCTTGATGGGCGGGTATGAGTATGGGTATGGGTATGGGGCGGGGGACCTAAAACCAAACCCGTCCCATACCCATCAGATTCTTTGCGGGTTTTACCCATACTCGCCCCATACCCAGTCAAAGCGAGAATTCCCCGCGTTGATTGAGTCGGAGGCTATCGAGTACCCGCGGCGGTGGTTATGATTGCCATCCCTAATCGGGTATGATCTTATACCACTTGTTGATTTGAAGATCGGATATGGTCTAAAGTCTAAACAACATTTACAAGGGGTGGTGATCTAAACGTGAAAATTTTATAAACTTCACTAAGGATATTATAATTTTACAAAACTACCTGGCATTCACTATTATACACCTCAGCCCACTATACAACCTCTCTCCATGACACTAGGGATATACATGGGTCGGGTGGTCCGGGTTTAGATATTTTAATCACCCGATCCATGCACTACGGTTTGGGAAATATTAAACTCAAACCCACCCAAAAAAATCTAAACCCTACGGTTTGTTTCTATTTTTAAGTAAAAACCCAACCAAACACAAAATATGTAATTATTCTACATCATAAAATATTTTATAACAAATTAAAAATCCAACGAATAAACCGAGGTGAAAGGTATCAAAATTCACAAATATTGTTTGAATTTTAATAAAACATGATTTACTTAAACTTATGTCTAATTTTTTTTTCACGACATTTGTCGAAATAGGCTAAAAAGGTTACAAATGAATGCATCCATAATATGATATTCTTTTAAAATTGTACACAAGAAAAAAAAATTACGTGAATCATAGCTATATTAAATATATGTCTAAACTTTAAGTCGAAGAATGCATTAGATTAGTGAGACTTTAAGAGAAAAACATGGCGAAATATCTTAATTTTCTCATAAGTATGACTATATACGACATAAATATTTTTTTGGATACGAACTCAGACCAATAATTGGAACACGGGTTGGGTCGAGTTCTACGGGTTGTGTAATCCAAAATCCAAACCCAATCCAAAAGAGGCGGGGTGTACAAAAGAAAACCCTCACCCAACCCAAAACCTTCGATTTAGCGATAAATACGGGTGAGTTTGGTCGGGTTGGACGGGTGGGTCGGTTTGCTGGTGTGTTTGTTCACCCCTACCCAGGACTGGAAGTTTGGTACGTACAGATATTTGAGATCTACCAAATACTATTTTTTTTTGTCATTTGATGTTATGGAATATGCGTATTATTTTATGAGACTATGATTAAATTTCTAGTGTTATTTGGTATTAGAGATTACAAGATTGAGATTGATATATCAAAATAGGATCCCTCACTCATTGCTACCAAACCCCAATTACTTATAATGACCACTTAATCATACATAGTTCATTTTCTCACTATTCGACAACACAAACCAATCTCGCTTTGTTAATTGTAGTATGTTTATGGGTTGATTAGTCGTCCCCTATTTTAGTTTGTTGCTTTAAGGGGTCGTTTGGTTGTGGTAATTTAACGCCGTAATTAGACCCAAACCCCATGAAATGCAATAATTGGGCCAAAATTCCACGTTTGGCTGGGCAAAATGAGTGTTGTAAGTGGGCTGCGGGAATTGGGGGAAATTCCACATATACTCTAATTGACAATTTGACACCCCTCCCCGTATTTGGACATTCCCACTTTTTGAGGTATTTTCTTCCAAATCTATCCCTGCCCCATCCACCCACACCATCAATTTTCATTATTCTTTTAACTCAATCCTAACATTCGATTACACTCAATTTCCATTTGACGATTCTCAGGTTTTCTATAACATGGAAATTAAGGTCAATTTCCACGTTTCCAGATTACCACAACCAAACAACCTCTTAACAATGCAATATCGACTAGCACGATATTTAATTCTCGTGGACCAAAAATAAAAATTTGGATTCGACAATTTAAGTATCGATTGGGATCGTTCTTGATGGACAAAAACGACTATCACTACAGCTGCTGCCAACTCGAGGACAACACGTGAAACAATTTGATGGCATTCGAATTTTATGCATGGAATTAATTGGCGGCCCATGGACTAAGAGTTTGGTGAATATATTTGGTTGGTGAATTATGGTACACGTGAAGATGGATTGACGCGGTGCTGTGAAATTAAATTCTATTTGTCCAAAAGGAAGGTCATGTGAATTATAATGCTTGCATGGATTAATTGCATGTTTTGGTTGATGGGTTAATGGTAACGTGGAGAGCAGGGGGAGTCTTAATTCCGCCAACAATTAAAAAAGGCTAGCTTTGTGAGACGGGATGGGATTAGGTGCTAACCCTTATAGGGGTTAGCACTGTGATAGCTAGCAAAAAATGCTATTAAAAATAACGAAATTACTACGGATTATTATAAAATCAATACAACATCTAAGCTAAATCACTACTAATTCAAACTAGTAGTATTTTTTTCCTTGATTAGGACGGTGCTAACTATTGTACAATTAGCACCGTAACCGCTCCCTTGTGAGACAAATCCGCCACCAGCAGTGAAACGGAATTCCATTCCGCCCAAGAGAAGGAAGCGGAGCACACGGCGCATAATTGTGGAGTTTATTGGGTAATTATTACAAAAGATCACAAACCTATGCACTTAGTACAAAATGGTCACAAACCTTTAATTTTGTACGTTTCAATAACAAATGTATGAACGAATAACGAAAAAGTCATTCCGTCCATCTCCATAAAAAACCGTTACTTTCGCCCAAACAGCGTGCCACATCACTTAAAATATTTAATAAAAAATTAATAACCAAATCAATCAACCCACACACAACCAACCATTTGCCGAGTCAACCCCTCATCGTCTTCATCTACCCCCGTCGAACTTTCATCTGCCAAAAACATCTCTTCACTCTCCCAAAAACTTCAATCGAAGAATCTTTCCTTCGCATCAGATGGAAATCCCAAAAGTTGACGGCTGAACCTAGTAGCACAATCACCAACGCACTACCCACGCGGCTCTCAACCGCCACTTTCCACACCGCCGCTCTCCCTCCTTCCCCGACATTACCTACGCAGGCGCCGGACTCCTCATCGGCGAAAACATTACGACCAACCCAAATTGTCGGATGAAGTTAGACTTGAATGTGTAGTCTCTGCAAATTAGGAAACCCAG